AGAATCAGCATTGCCCCCCCCCCCGCGCAGTGGATGGAGCCTCTGTTTTGTCGCGACTCCACCGGCCCGTCAGCGCCTTGAATGGCGGTGGCGACAAGCGACTGCGGGTACACACTAACTAACACTAAACACACACCGTGATCGAATTTTCCACCGCCATCGTCCATGCGCCCTCCCCCACGACTGTGATCTCCGCTTCGCAACGGATTCGGTGCTTTCTCGCCCTTACAACCGCGGAACCCGACGATGCTATCCGTAGTGGGGGGAGGACACAGCACAGCGGTGGGACGTCATGCCTCGCAGCAATAATTGTAGTGGATGGGTTGGCAATGGGTTGTGTCAATACGGGACTCCATTGCCCCTTATGGAGCCCTTCTGGATTAACCATGGATGGAGCAGGTCAACCGATGCCACTGGTGATCCACGACCCTTCCGCCAGCTGCCGTCCATTGGCCCGCACGATGGATCTGCTCCCCATCCTAAGGCTGGCAAAGTTCACCAACGCTGTGGATTTTGCAAAACTCAGTTCCCCTATCTTAGGTTATCGACGTGTGCGGTCACCCTTAAATCCCCCCGGACTTCCGGTGGCTGCTCCCTTGGCTTTGTTTCCCCAGATGCATTGAATTCAGTTTCAATTGCTGATCCCCCTTCAGTATGTCACTCCCACTTCCCAATGACATCCTCCTGCTGGTCGGGGAGTATGTGGAAGACTATCGGGACCGCTACAACCTTCTTTTTGTGTGCCGTCATTTTCACGACCTGTTTCTGCGCTTGGTTTACCAAGCAGCTGCCCTAAAGGACTGCTCCCAGACGCGTTCCTTCCTGGGAGCTGTCCTCCGTCGTCCCGAGCTGGCTCGGGCGGTTCGCAGCTTGGACTTCCATGACTGGTGTCCTAAATCCAACTCCACTCCTTCCTCCCCCTCCTCCGACGAAGATTTGGCGCCGTTTGCCCAATTGGCCTATTCCCTCAGTCAAACTGCCGAAGAGCACACGAAATGGGAGCAGGATCTCCGGGATAATGTTGAAGAAGCTTGGATTGCGCTTCTCCTGCCGCTGGCGAGTAACCTGAGGCATCTGCAATTAGTGTACCCCAAGCAGAATGTCTACCTGGACCGCATGATGCAGCGGGCAGTGAGGGGAGAGAAGCCTTTCGATGACCGGCCGGCATTCCGTGTGTTGCGGGATGTGTCGCTGAGCCATTTAGCCGACGAGGAAGACAGCCGAGGAAGTTACATGACTTCCCAGGTCCTTCCTTTCTTTCAATTGCCATCCATGCGGGCATTCTCGGCGGACTCGGTGGTTGAGTCTACCCGCCCACGCGAGGATGAGCCCGAACCAACCCATCCCGTTGAGGAGCCTACTCCCGGCTCTTCGTCCATTGCTGAGATCACACTAAACACGAGCAGTGGATCTCAGGGCATGCAAAGCCTGATCGCCTCATGCTCTTCGCTGCAGTCCTTCAAGTACCAACACTCCGATTCACACCTGCTTGCAGAGGGGTTCCAGCCTTCTGCATTCTTCGAGTCCCTGGCGAACAGCAAGAGCAGCCTGCACACCCTGTGGCTGGATAATTGCGGCACCCACTTGCCTTTCACCATTGCCGGAGCGAACGAGACGCACGACGAGTGGTTTGGACCCCTGACGGAGTTCACTGCGTTGAAGGATATCCGCATCCGTCTGCCCAACCTGCTTGATGTTCGCTACCAGTATGAACCGTCGTGCCCGCTCACCGATGTGCTTCCCGCGTCGGTCGAATCGTTGTATGTGGAAGGCTGTAAGGAAAATACTTTGGCCATGCTGGTTGGACAGCTCCAAAAGGTTCTCAACAAGCGCAAGACGCAATTCAAGGGCCTGGGACGACTCGACGTTGAAGGCTTCTTCCATGACGAGGAGGATGAGGACGCATCAGGCTACCAGCCGGCGGAGGCCGCCGACGAGAAAGTGATCAAACCCCGGGTGTATCAGACGGTAGAGCCGCTGCACCGTGCCTGTGCCGAGGCGGGAGTTGAACTCTATTTGCGCGACCGCGTGTGTTTGGCGACGATGCAAGAGGCATAACATTATGATACGAACCGAGACGAGGATAGAGGATAGACGATAGATGATAGACTTGCGTTGCGCGCACAATACCCATAGACAACTGCTTACTGCTTTGGATTTTTTGATTTGGAATTACGCTCTGATTAGCTAGATTTGGACTTTTTTTGGAATCATCGCGAATTGAATGATTGCATTGAATCGATTACTTGGTCTGACAAATACCTCAGCAGTAGGAATAGAGAACCAGCATCCACGGTTCCGAGGCCATATAGATTGGGAAGGTTACATCGCTCTGACACTGTTGGGCTCTGCATGATAGGTTCTGAACATCCCCGAAAACTCTACAGGTCATCTGCTGTTCCTCGTCCCCCGTAATACGCGATATGCTTGGATAGAGGCACTGGATAGCTTCGGCATTCCCCGAATGGTTTGATTCTGAATGCAACCCCCGCATTTCCACCCCCATAATTCCAGATATCATCCCTAGATGACGTTAGATGACGCTCCATTCTGATGTATTCACCAGGTGAGGATCCTGGCTGAGCAAAGTGGATTAGCTCTCCCAACAACAGGAGCCCTGGACCCTTACCAGCTGGCTCTGTGTTTGTCTGCAGAATTTGTCTTGTTGACTTTCTCTCCTTTCCTTCAGTCGTCTTCAGTCCTGTGTGTTCTGTTGTTTTCACCTCCACTCATCATCACTACTCTCATTTGTCTGGTCGTGGCTGCTTGGTCTTCCGCTGGTTTGTTTGCTTGCTTGTGACGCGGATCACTGGGTTTCCCTGGTCGCTACCATGTCGTCCCTGAGTGCGATCAATAACCCTGAGGACACGCTCGCCGAGCAGGAGAAACCTGTCAATCTGAGAAGCGCCGCTGAGAATGAGGATCCTTTCAGTCATGATGGTGTCGGCGGGGTGAAGTATCGCACTTTGGCTTGGTGGTAAGTGTTCATCCCTTCATCTAGATCGGCTTGGACCTGGCTAACTGTTCAGGCAATGTGCAATGAGTATGTAAGTGCCAGTATTCTCAACAAACCAGGTCTAATAACTTGTACAGTCATGGTCGCAGAGACAATATCCCTGGGCATCCTGTCCCTACCCTCGGCCGTGGCGTCGCTTGGCTTGGTTGCGTGAGTTATGATTGGTATCGTCGACGGAGAGTGGCTTGGTGGCTAACTTAGCCTTGCACAGAGCCGTGATCCTCATCCTTGGCCTCGGCGCTTTGGCAACTTACACGGGCTATACCCTAGGGCAATTCAAGCTCCGATATCCGCATGTGCACAGTATGGGTGATGCCGGTGAGGTCCTGATGGGTCGCATCGGTCGCGAAGTGCTGGGAACCGCGCAGCTGTTGTTTCTGATCTTTATCATGGGCAGTCACCTTCTGACCTTTACTGTGATGATGAATACCTTGACCGACCATGGCGCCTGCTCTATTGTGTTTGGCGTGATCGGCTTGGCGGTGTCGTTCGTCTTTACCTTGCCGCGGACGCTGAAGAAGGTGTCCTGGTTTTCCATCTCATGTACGTCCATCCTAGAGCTTCTGATGATGCAGAAGGCTTACAGTCACAGCTTTCATCAGCATCACTGCCGCAGTGTTGATCACCATGATTGCAATCGCGATTCAAAAGCCAGGTGACGGCCGTGTCGATGCCGTCGTTGACAATTCATTCTACAAGGCTTTCCTAGCTGTCACCAACATTGTCTTCGCATACGGTATTTCCAAATCACTCCTTGAAGAGCAGAACCAAAGCTAACCAATCCAGCCGGGCACGTGGCCTTCTTCGGATTCATCTCAGAAATGCGCACGCCGACCGATTACCCCAAGACATTGTACATGCTGCAGGGGATTGATACGTCAATGTACACCATCTCGGCGGTCGTCATATACCGCTACGGAGGAAAGGACGTGGCATCTCCGGCATTGGGATCGACCAGTCCGCTGATGTCCAAGATTGCCTACGGCGTTGCTATTCCGACGGTAAGCCGCCCTCCAGAATTCTTGCTTGAAAAGTACTGATAAGTAACGTAGATTGTGATCGCTGGCGTGATCAATGGTCATGTGGCATGCAAATACATCTACGTCCGTCTGTTCCGGGGAACCGACCGCATGCACCAGCGCGGACTTGTTTCGATTGGGACGTGGGTGATGATTGGGTTGGTGTTGTGGACGCTGGCGTGGATTATCTCTGAGGCGATTCCTGTGTTCAACGATTTGCTGAGTCTGATCGTAGGTTTTCCATGGCGTGTGTGTTGTTGAACAAGACTAACAGTCGCAGACGGCGCTCTTTGCCAGCTGGTTTACATGTGAGTTCCGCCGAGTCTAGAACCATCCCTGCACTAACCAATCTTTTAGATGGACTAAGTGGAATCTTCTGGCTGTTCCTCAACTGGGGCCGATACTCCTCATCGCGCCGCAGGATCCTACTGACCGGTCTGAACCTGCTCGTGGTACTTGTAGGTGGCTGTCTAGTAAGCATACAACCCACCACCTCATCACAATAACATCACAAACATCACAAAATTACTAACCAGACAGTGCGCCCTTGGTCTCTACGTCTCCGGAAAATCAATCCATGATCACCCCAAAAGCACCAGCTTCTCATGCTCCAACAATACTTGAACCCAGCCGGTGATCGGATAAGTGGAGGCCGAGAGCCGATTGTCGGGTTAGGGAAAAGTGCGAGTCAGGCACCGACAGATTGGGTGATGTCAGTCCATGTGGAGGTTCTCTTATGTACAATTAAGCAAGCAGGTCTTGTTTTAATAGTATTGTATTGAGAGCCAATGGCTAGCGCTGATATGGCAGCTTGCCACCAGCGCAGATGACGTCGCCGGATCCGGTCGGATACGCCGTTTACTTTGACATCATCCCACCAGATGCATACATTAGGATAATGCATAATAAATACAGTAGTCAACGCACACAATATGTAGCGTAGGAATATCAAATCGAGTGCATAGTAGCTGTGAATCCACCATGGAAGACACACGCACGCAAACTGCCTCCCTGGCAGAAGAATCTCGTCGCAGCCATCACTCCAGCAGCACCTTACCGAACGAGCACGATGAAAAAGACATAGAGAAACAGCGTCTCCACGGCGGCATGGCCGAAGGCACAAAGGACAACAAAGAACCCGACCCCAACATCGTGGACTGGGATGGTCCAGATGACCCAGTATGTCCCTTTCCACCCTCCTCCCCGACCCCATCTATACTCAAAACCCAATCCCAAACCCTAACCACCCACCCATCACAGGAAAACCCCCAAAACATCCCCCGTTTCCGCAAATGGCTCATAACAATAATCCTCGGCCTCATGACCATATCCGTGACCTTCGCCTCATCCGTCTTCAGCACCGCATCCACCGTAACAGCGAAGCAATTCCACGTCTCCTCCGAAGTGATGGTTCTCGGCACAAGCCTCTTCGTGCTCGGATACAGTTTCGGCCCGCTCTTCTTCGGTCCCCTATCCGAGCTCTACGGCCGCAAAACCCCCCTGTTCGTGGGATTTTTCATCTTCGCTATATTCCAGATCCCGGTTGCCGTGGCGCAGAACCTCCAGACGATAATGATATGCCGGTTCCTGGGCGGACTGTTTGCTAGTGCGCCGTTGGCGATTGTCGGTGGTATGCTGGCGGATATATTCGGTCCTGTGGAGCGGGGGATAGCGATCGCGGTGTTCGCGGGCGCTACGTTCGTGGGGCCGGTCGCGGGCCCGATTGTCGGGGGGTTTATCACGATGAGTTATCTGGGGTGGAGATGGACGGAGTATATCACGGCCATTATGGCGTTCTTTTTTGGGGCTGTGGGGTTTGTGGTTGTTCCGGAGACGTTTGGGCCGACGTTATTGGAGCGGAGAGCGCGGAGGAAGCGGTTCGAGACAAAAAATTGGGCATTGCATGCGCGGTCGGAGGAAATGCCGGTTGATATCAAGCATATTGCGACTGTGTATCTCGTCAGGCCGTTTTTGATGCTTGTGAGAGAGCCGATTCTGTTGCTTATCACGTTGTATATGGGGTTTATTTATGGGTTTTTGTATCTGTGTTTTGAGGCGTATCCGGTGGCGTTTCAGGAGTTGAGGGGGTGGAATGAGGGGGTGGGTGCACTGCCGTTTATTTCCATTGCTGTGGGGGTCGTGTTTGGGTGTTGTGTTATTGTGTTCTTTACCAAGACGAGGTTTCAGAGGGTGTTGGAACGGGAGGGCCATGTTGTTCCGGAGGAGAGGTTGATTCCTATGATGATTGGGGGGGTGTTGTTGCCTGCCGGCATGTTTTGGTTTGGTTGGACGAGTAATCCTGGGATTATTTGGGTGCCGCAGGTCATTGCTGGGGGGTTTTTGGGGGCGGGGATACTGTTGATTTTTATGCAGGTATGTTGTCTTTTTCCTTTGAGTTTGATGTGTGTGATGCTGATGGTGATGGTATAGGGGCTGAATTATATCATTGATTGCTACAACATCAATGCCAACTCGGCTATTGCGGCGAACTGCTTCTTTCGGTCGGGACTGGGGGCCGGGTTTCCGATGTTTGCTATTCCGATGGTGAGTATTTTCCTCTTGTTGACAGCTTTGTGGGTTTCTTGGTGAAGGAGACATGTTGATTTATGATGCAGTTCCATAATCTGGGCGTGCCGTGGGCTATGACCCTGCTGGGATGTTTGACTGCCATATTGTTCCCCGTGCCGATTCTGTTCTATATCTATGGAAGTAGAATTAGGTCCTGGAGTAAGTTTGCGCCGACTGATTAGGATTCATGCTGTGGTGAGAGGACAGCAAGGTTATGATATAATATGATTTATTGTGTATGTAATAGGTAGTCAGTTAGATACTATTCACTTCGATCTTTATAGAGAAATACTGCAATTTATCCAAAAGATACTCTACACAACAAACAGAAATACTCATATAACAAACAGTCCATTCAACCATGGCCCAATCTGGTCAATCCTCATAGTAACAGCAGAGACATCCTCAGTTCGAGCCACACCTAACAATCAACACTGACAGACGCGAACGGAATGCCAATACATCCCTGCACATCTCCCGCAAAGTTCGCCGAACTTCCCTGACAGTTGTCCCCAGACCAGGTGGTGATCTTGCACTTGCTGTCGGCGGTACCGACGTTGAAAGACGCCCCAGGCAGGCTCACAAAGCAAGATTCTCCAGACCCGATGATGGCAGGGTTGGCGGAGGAACCTTCGCAGTTGTTGCCGGACCAGGTGGTAATTGTGATGCTTTCGCTGCGGGTTGAGAGGGGAGTGGATTCGGCGGTGGTAGTGAGGGCCAGGACGCCCATGGCGGCGAGAGGGAGGAAGTGGTGGAGTTGCATTTTGCTTTTTTGGTAGACGTTTCTTTTTAGAAAAAGATGTGAGGATGGATAAGTGGCTTGTTTGTAGGAGGCAATGGAGTATGTAGATGATTGAGATAGAGAAGCTGAGCTGGGTTGTTATCGAGATGAAGAGCGAAGAAGACCGACTTTATACCTTCTTCTTCGATATTCCGCCCCATTCAGATGCTTGTCTTCTTCCTATACTCAGGGCAGTGCAAGGCCGAACATACCCGTCTATTCCAGGCGCAGTCATCGTGAACCCATTATGGTGGCTCATTTCACGCTTCAGTTGGATCTTTGGCCCTTCGAGGTGTAGATCTATGATCATTTCTGTATTCAGTATGCTGATCTGTGAGAAGTGGAGTTTTGGCCCCAGTAGGGTACCTGAGGGGAAAAGATATTCGGGCCCTTGCAGATCGGATGGAAGGCCTTAAGCTTTGGCCCCATGGAGCTTACTTGCCGTTTACTGTGTGGGAGGCTGATGTATTTAGAATGAATTTGGGGTTATATGGGGGTGCAGTATGCTCGCTATTCTTTTGTGCTTCTCAATTCCACAATATGTTGTTTGTTTCGCTGACATGCTGGCTGAGTAGGCCTTAGTGTATGAAGAGACTGTTAATTATCTCAACTGTCAGGTGGTCCTATCTCAAATTCACATTGTACTCGTGTACATTGACACATTAATTCTGCTTGATCATCAACAATCATGATCAGTATGTAAGATAAACAAGCTAAGCATAACACAAAGAGTACAATTGTTAGAAGGTGCTATACATAGGGACCGCGCTAGTCTAATCTGGGTATGCGAGTTGCGACGGGATCAGAAATTAGTGCGAAAGAGTCAAACTGGGGCTGGATAAACAGCTCAGACGGGTTCAGAAAAACTCTGACCCTGAATGAGCTTATACATATGATTTGATATTATTTCTGACACTAGATCAGCTCTGCACGTGATTCATCAAATCCTAGAGAAATATCAGGAAATCTCTAACACTAATCTCTGGCATACTAAATACCTCAGTCATTGCAAAAGTAATGACAATAAGAAGGAAAACCCGCGAGCATCCCAAAGGCCCCAAAACCAACAGAGAGAGCAGCTGATTCGGGTTCAGAAAGTGTCAGAAGAGGTTATTCAGTGTCAGAACTAACATAGTCTGATACTAAACCATCTTTTCACGTGATTAAGATCATCCAGTATCAGAAATTTCCTGATACTCTCGCACTATTTTGAAGCCGCCGCGAGTTGGAACCCCGCGAGTGAGACCCCTTCAGAGACGTCCCTGATCCAGACTCTAAGATACAGAATGAGCTTGGTATGTGATTATCCTCGATAATAATTCAGCTCTGTGATATTCATTTCATAATAAATTACGAAATAAATAAGATAACAAATCAAATTCCAGTAGCCTGATACTATGATAGTCACAACACTATAAAAGATTTCGGTTATTATACGATTGAAATGTGAGTTTACAACCAAAAAATTCTAGTCTAGACTGAAGCAGTTAAATCACGTGGACGGGCTCATTCAGTATCAGATTCTCTCTGAACCAGCCGCACTAAATCCTGAACCCGCCGCAGCTTGGACCCCTGCAATTGCATACACTGCTTGGTAAGCAACAGTATGTCCTGGGAATAACCAGTAGATTAATTTACGTTAAAGAATGCAACATCTATAACACAGAAAATAAGCACTAACATGTTAAACATCATCCCATCCACCAATTACCTTCACGGACATGACGCCATCTGACAAATGTCTGATTTATCAGCAATAGCTAGTTACCCTATATTCCTTTCATGTATAGCTTCAACAACTACAACAATTACAATCACATAAATAATACCCTCATCCCCACCCAGTCTGACCCCAACCATCTCCACATCTACATCCAAACTCAACCTCCCCCTTCAACGAAAAAAGAGAAAGAAGAAATAATGCCCCTAACCTACCTCCTAACCGGCAGCACGGGCGGCCTCGGCTCCCTCGTCCTAGATTACTTCACCACGCACTTCCCCCCCGCACAAGAACCCACACACAGCGTCTCATACGCCGCATCCTCCTCCAACCCATCCAACAGTGACCGCTTCACATCGAAAGGCATCCCCTTTCGCACCGTCAACTACGATGACCCCTCAACGCTCGATGTGGCTTTCAAAGACGTAGAGAACCTTTTCTTCGTGAGTACGAATACCTTTGACGTTGAGAAGCGCCGAAGACAGCATTTGAATGTCGTGGAGGCGGCGAAGAGGAATGGTGTTAAGCATGTATGTCCTTCCCCCCAGCCAAACTGGATTTCCATTCAAGATGGAATTGAATAATAATGATAATGGTGTTATAGGTATGGTACACCTCACTCGCGTTCGGAGGCCTCGGGTCCGATTCCAAGGCTGCGGTGCAGCAGGCGCATTATATGACGGAGGATATGTTGAGGGAGTATGTTCCCACCTCCCCTTCTTTCCACCATATTTCTTGTTTTTTTAGTGGTATTGATGGTTGGTTGATAGATCTGGGGTAAACTACACCTCCATCCGCGAAGGAATCTATACTGAAGCCTTCCCACTCTTCATTAACTGGTATCCCCAATCGACGACCCTCTATCTGCCCTCTTCGTCGGGGAAGATCGCGTTCACGCTCCGGTCGGAGTTGGCGGAAGCAACGGCTAAGTTGATGTTGAAGGGTGGTCATGATAGAGAGATCGTGCTGTTGACTGCGTCGGAGCCTGTGTCTGTGCAGGATATAGTGGATGTTATTAATGAGACGACTGACCGGGAAGTGAAGATCGAGATCGTCGATCCGGAGACGTATGTACGGATCAACGCGGAGAATGATATCGGGGGCAAGGCGGAGGGGTTCTTCCGGCAGTTGGTGGGGTGGTTTGAGAGTATTGAGAATGGTGAGGCTGGGTTTACGGATGGGTTGATGGGGGAGGTGTTGGGGAGGGAGCCGGTGACGCCGAGGGAGGCGGTTAGGGGGTTGTTGGAAGGGGAGAGAGATTATACGTGGCATCAGAATTATAGCAAGTAGTCGGTCAGTCTTTTGTATTCTTGTTGTATATTATGAGGTGGTTAAGTTGGCTATGAATGCTTTTATGCTTTTATTATATGTGGTGATATCATTTCATCACACGCGGTTGTCTTCCTCTCGATCGTGCTGCGGGTACCCTGTGTGCGTGTCGCGATACACTGTCGCTTCTCCGTCGCCCTCTTTCTCTATGACATCTTCCTCGTCTGCTCCCCAGGTCGCTTCGCGCATGAATGGACTGCGTCGGCGGATCTCGGGTCCCTTCCATACTAGTACTACTGGCACTACTGACAGTGCCAGTCCAATGAAACCTAGTAATGACCCGGCCCAGCCGTACCCCAGGTTCTCGAATAGCTCGTAACTCGCCAGTGGCAGGAATGCGCCAAAGGAGTTTCGTCCCAGAGATGCTGCGGACAGAGCTGATGCAGCGTACTTTTCGTACGCATCTGTCAAGTAATTGACCACCGCCATGTAAATACTGTAGATGCCAATACCGGTGCACCCGATGCCGAGAGTTGGTACGATCCAAGGCACAGAAGGAGTGCTGGACCAGCCATACCAGAACAGCCCGCCTGCAAACATCAAGCTGCCAATGATACTAGTATACAACCGAGCTTCCGGAATAGGTTTTCCCGGCTTCTCTTTGTTGCGTCTCGCCGACTTCAGATACAGGATGTCCTGTAAAGGATTGACGAGAGTGCCGATCAACGCACCCACGGAGATCGCCAGCTGAATGGTCCCAGTTTGCAAAGTATTCATGCCGTAGTTGGCGGAGAAGGTCTGGACGACGCTGCTGAAGAAGAGATACAGGATGCCCCAGGCGAAAGAAATCCAGAGAGTGAAGAAGGCAACGACAGGCTCGGTGAGGAGCATGCGTGTAGGTCGTTCGAAGGAGATCTGCATCAGACGCCATACGCTGGTGTTGTCTAGCTCGGCTTCAGCGTAGATGGGGCGCTGCTTTTCTTTGCGGAGCTTCTTGGCCCGACGGGCAAGGATCACGTCTGCGCGGGTTTCGTACAGAATGAACCAGAAGATAGGAAGGAGGCCTGTTAGGTAAATGATTTGAATGTAGAAGATCCAGCGCCACGGGGCAGTTTTGTGGATGGCTACGATGGCGGATCCAATGAATGGCCCCAGGGCAATACCAACCACACTGGTAAATCCGAAGAGGGACATGGGGAGACTCCGCGCCTTGTCTCCGTACCAGACATCGCTGATGCTACCGCCGACGATGTTGATGGATACGGAGGAAGCACCACCGCCGAAAAACCGCGTTACTACGAGAGTGGCGTAGTTTTGGGCGAAGGCGGAGGGGAACAGCGAGATGATGAGGATGATGTAGGCGACAAAATAGCCGGGCATGCGACCGGAGGATTCAGTCAGGGGCACGAAGATGAGAGGCCAGAAGGCCGCTCCCATGTTCCAGGATGTTGTGGCCCAGTAAAGGTTTGGAAATGGCGTGTTTTGGACGTGGAATCGTTCTTCCATCCAGTTGTTGCCGGAGCCGTATGAACCGGCCGGGATACCAGTGAGGATGGAGCTATACCTGTTAGCATTGCACCTTTGAAAGCAAGGCTAAGGGGGACATACATGAAACACACAGTAACCGTGAGAAGCCATTTGTAGGAAGTGCTCCAATTGAACCTAGTTCTGTTAGACTAGTGTCCTAACAACTGCATACTTGACGCACGGATTGTCCGGATCATCCTTGCCATTCCAGGTATGGATCTCAAGGTCCTCCCTGTCACGCAGATCGTTGTGGCTGACTACCCCGACATGGGGGTCCCTGCGAAAGAACGATCGTACCCTGCAACGTCAGATTAGTGGCTGTATGGACAGGGTCTGCTTGGCAATGATTGGCAGACTAACCGTCCCAAAAACGAATCATCGAATTCATTGGTGTGCACCGTGCTAGCGCGGCGCAGCGACGGGCGTCTCTCCTCGACAGGGGTGGACATGACTATCTCTAAATTGATTCCTTGCAAGGTATCTGCTTGACAGAGGCAGAGATGAAGTTGAGTAAAATAGGGTGCAGAGACCCTGCAGAACCTGCATCGGCCGGCGGCAACATGTCGTCATGACCGACCCGGCCCGAGCAACGTCCATGAAACTCGGAACAACCAGGGGAATCCGACGCTTTGAGTGGTCAATCCATGTCTATCCACATCTGCGTTGGAGTGGATGAAAGGTGGAGGAGAGCTGATTGCCAAATTCTGTTAGGGCTTGGAATGAAGCAACCGGTTTCGGTCATGACATCATCACAGCGATGACTTCATCACTTCCGAACGAGCATATAAAGTTGTGCCTGTCGTCGTATCTCGACAACATCAACAACAACAACAACAATCATCTACTGCATTTATCAAAGTCATTTCTACCTCAATCAACATGCCTATCCCCGTTCCCTCCGCCTCCAGCGTCCACGACCTCTTCAGCCTGAAGGGCAAGGTCGTCGTTATTACCGGCGCTTCCGGCCCTCGCGGCATGGGCATTGAAGCCGCCCGTGGCTGCGCCGAGATGGGCGCCAACATCGCCCTCACCTACTCTTCTCGTCCTCAGGGTGGTGAGAAGAACGCCGAAGAACTTCGCAACACCTACGGCGTCAAGGCCAAGGCCTACCAGTGCAACGTCGGCGACTGGAACAGCGTCAAGAAGCTCGTGGACGACGTGCTGGCCGAGTTTGGCCAGATTGACGCCTTCATTGCCAATGCTGGCAAGACAGCCAGCAGCGGTATCCTCGATGGCTCCGTTGAGGACTGGGAAGAAGTCATTCAGACCGATCTGACGGGTACCTTCCACTGCGCCAAGGCGGTGGGTCCGCACTTCAAGCAGCGCGGAACCGGCAGCTTCATCATCACCTCCAGCATGTCGGGTCACATTGCGAACTTTCCTCAGGAGCAGACTTCGTACAACGTGGCCAAGGCAGGCTGCATCCACATGGCCCGGTCATTGGCCAACGAGTGGAGGGACTTTGCCCGCGTGAACAGCATCTCCCCGGGTTACATCGACACGGGATTGTCAGACTTTGTTGAGAAGAAGACTCAGGATCTGTGGATGTCCATGATCCCCATGGGACGGAACGGTGATGCCAAGGAGCTGAAGGGTGCATATGTCTATCTCGCCAGTGATGCCAGCACATACACGACGGGTGCCGATTTGATCATTGACGGAGGATACACCGTGCGGTAAATTGACCGCGGTCGGGGAGAAAAATAATGTTTATGACATGTATGTAATGAATATAAATGTTCAATTGTATCAATTGCTTGGGTATTTTGTGTATCTTTCGTATGGCTCGAAACGACCTGCCATGGCCGGCCAGGGTGGTGTAGCTCTCAGTCTTATGGATGCAACTGCGTCAGTGTGGATCTTTAGCTCGGGCTCGGAGGGGCTGTGGGGTTACTAGAACAAGCAGCCACTCGTCTCTGAGTCTGCGGATCTCCACGGAACGCCATTTTCCTGAAGACTCAGTCTGGGCCTGATCTCAGACTGATTTGGTGAGGGGATTCTGCATCCGTTCGAACCTTATAATCGTGAGACGAGCTCCGGAAGCCTCGAGCTTTACGCTGTGGCTGGTTCTTTGTTCTCCCCGGAGCATCCCAAGTATGTTCATTTCCATCTCACGCTGCCATTTGCACAGCCAAGATAGACGGATCGGGAGGAGACATGGTAGAGAGCCGTGAAGGTGACATGGAACTGAAATTGAAGTTGGCGAAGTTGAAATCCAAACCCGTCAAACAGAAACAAACTGAGCAACACCACATCCGGTCAGGTGACATATCTACAGTGAACAATAGCTGGAAAGAAGCAAGGGATGCATACAAAACATGTCCAATTTAACTAACTTCAAAAAGCTATATGATCCTCAATCAAGCATGTCATAATCATCAGTCATTACCGTCAACTCTTGCCCACCTTCGCATCGGCCACCTCCTCTGGATCATCCACCACCTCTGCCAGATGCATCCGCGGCAATGTCCTTGCCAGTCGCGGTGGGTCAAACACGCTCTTCGACTGCAGGAAGATTTCGTCAATCTCCTCCAGTGACCGACCATTCGTTTCCGGGAAGAAGAAGTACACGGTCGGCACGATCACTGCGTTCAACACCGCGAAGATGATGTAGTATTGGTATCCGATCGTATCGAAGCCCACCGGGGTTACTTCAGCTAGGAGGAAGTTGAAGGTCCACACGGCAGCTGTTGAAACTGCACTGATGGCCGCTCGCAGCTGCAGTGGTGCAACCTCCGTAGCGTACAGGAAAGTCAACCCCGAGTATCCCACGGTGAAGATGAACTCGAACACGAAGAGAAACACCACCGCTACGACCAGCGCTGCGGTATCATCAGATCGAGACGTTGTTCCGGCTAAGATAGCCATCGAGGCGGACATGCCCACGGCACTCCACAGCATCAAAACTCGCCGACCGAGCCGATCAATTGTGAAGAAAGCGAGAAATCCGCCCAGTGGCTGAGTGAGGCACATGGCAGCAGCCAGAATGCGTGATGGTATGGCATCCAGGCCTAGATATTGTTGGAAAATGGTCGTGGCGTAAAATGTGATGAGATTGATTCCGCACATCTGCTGGAACATCTGGCCTGCCGCAGCCAGCACCGTCCGATGGAAGAGTCGCTGTTCACCCATGCTCAGCATGTCCTTCCACGATCCAGATCCCGAGAGTGCCAGCGACCGTTCAATGTCGCGCATAGCCAGGGTGATGCTTTCGTCGTTGGGGTCGACATCTGCCAGCGCGGCCAGGATTTCACGGGCCTCCTCGGTCCGATTCCGCTTTATCAGCCACCGGGGTGACTCTGGGAAGAATATGATGAAGGCCATCACCATCAGCGACAGAACGATCTGGAAGGCGAGCGGGAACCGCCACGACACGGAGTTACCCGTGACGAAGTAGAATCCGAAGTCAATCCACAGCGATATTGTAATGCCCGCCCCAATGAAGATACCGTCTGTCACTACATGGGCGCCACGCTTGCCCGCCTGCGAGATCTCGGCCTGCCACACGGGCACGGTTGCAACATAACCGCCCGTTCCCAGTCCAAGAACAACACGTGCCACGATGAATTGAGCCAGTCCGAAAGAAGTGGCCATCAGCAGGGCCCCGATTATCGATATGGCTGAGGTGATAAAGATCACCTTTTTCCGGCCGAGGAGATCGCCGAGGTAGATGCATGATAGTGATCCGAATATGCCGCCGACAGTGTACAGAGCGACCACCGTACCTGTGGAATGTTACAATGGGAGGCAATTATTAGCAGCGAGCAGAGTGCCTACCCTGAATGGTGGAGTTGTAGTGCTGCTGGGCCCCAGTGGTGGTCAAAGTGTTCATCTGGGGAAACGTCTCCGCAAACGACTCCAGCGTGAGGAGACCCCCTGTCACTCCCTGGTTGTATCCATAGCACACAAAGGCCGGACAGACGACCAGCCAGATGATGGCGCGATTCAAAAGAGCGCCGCGTAGGCCGAAGTATGGTTGCATGGCTAAGACATGCAGTAGAAGATTCTATGCAACGATCGCGACATCAGCCAGGATGTCCCCGCATGTAATGATCAATTAGACTTGGCTCACGCCGTTGAACCCTGGTCTCCGGTGCGGACATTTTATAAAAAGGCGTCCAAGCATTTGCATATGGGTCGGCCATCGGCGGCGCCCGTCTGTCGCGTGGACTTGGGCATTTCGGACTAGAATAGGAGTCCTGTAACCGAAGCTGTGCCAAAGTCAAAGGATCACAAGAGAACAGGCATCGATCGCCAAGCTGGCAGGCGTGTGTCTTCCCCGCTGGACAATTTGAGATCGTCGTTGGACTTTTCTCCACCTGCCGGCTGCCCTTCCATCGGATCCGGCCGATGGGGTTGTTGGACCTCGGGTCAACAGCCAGTCGGGAGTCACTGGGCCGCCAAGACACCCCCAGAAGCCTCATTGAATTTGGTAATGGCCAGCGTGGGAGATAAATAGATAAAGAGACGCTGGTGGTGCCCCATAATTGAGATAACGATGCTTTTGATGTTGCTTTTGTCCGATATCGCAAGAGAGAACTGGGGGTGAAGCAGCTAGGAGCATCCCGATCGTGTCTAATTAGGCGATGTAAGCAGAACGCAACTCATATCTCAATCAGTAACGGTGCAGCATGTTTGTCAATCATCCCAAATCCGTGACAGCGAAGCTTAGGCAATTGCAGCCCACGTCTGGCTTGGCCAACGCAATCTGCATTGAGATCTGCGAACGGCACGGATACGATGCCCTGTTCAAACAAGTTAGCTGCTTTTCGACCACTGAGCGTCTGTACGGATGACTGACTGAACCTTCTTTCCCCGACCTCGGCTATTTTGAGAATATCGCCAGGTTCCGACTAGCGTGCATGCCAATCGCCAGGTCTTTTGAGATGTCTGTCTGACATAGGAGGCCAGGATGGGGGTCCCTCAAAATATAAGATATCAGGGGCTGTCTTTATCTCCAGCTTTATATGGCCATTCCGTATCAGTTTGGAGATATAGCTCAGGGCTGTTATTGGTGCTCTGATAACAATTCCGCCTAACGGGATAAGGAATCCTCCGTCCTGTGCAAAGGGCGATACGGGATCGTCAACGGACGGCATGTGTGATAGACATCGCGGAGAAAGTCAATCCCACGCGATTGGTCATAGTTTCGTTACAACTTGATGTGTCTGGTTGAAATATCTCATGTAGCACATGAGGGGTTATAGATCTCTGAGTCAAGTGACCAAAGGTGAGTCGCCGTCAGCTTAGGTGTGTTGTGCTGGCAGGTTTGATGCCAAGAGTACGTTCCTGGACCAAAGGAAGTGGGGTAAACGGGGAAGGAAGATAGAGTATAGAGGTAAATATAAATGGCGTAAGTCCCATTTATAGTAGTTGGTCATGGGACTGCACGCGACCGATGGCATTGCGTCGCGGTCATTGCTTTGCAGCAGTTCATGTGCCAGGAGGCTCAATATCAGTGACCACCCCCTGATATGGTAGTCATCTGCCGACAGTGAGGTATTGACGGCGGTATTCCTATTATAGCCTTAGCGGCCTGCGGGTTTAGAAGAATCCCTGGGCACTAGCTTGGGTTTGAGGTTGATCTTATCTCTGTGGAACTTGTTTAGACATTCATCTCCATCCTGACTCACTTGTCAGTGGCTCGAGAGTTCAGCATAGTTGTAGTAGTACGGTGTGTGAACTAACGGTATAGAAGCCGGATATATATATTCAATCAGCCACTTGATAGGAGTAAGTTCTTAGCAGGAGCAGCCAACTTAGCTCAACAATGAGTCCATCCTTAATATGAGCATGATGCATAATTAGTAGGCTGCAAAGGTGCGAAGGGAGAATACCACCGCAGCTGCTATAGATGACTAGTTTGTTGTAGTATAATGCCGACTCAAGCCATGAGCAACTATCGACAACTGTGGGGGAAGGTTTTAGAACATCTATGTTGCGCTAAGATATAGGGCAAAGGTACACTGCGATATACATCAACTGGGTCCCATAGCTCAGTTGGTTAGAGCGTGACGCTAATAACGTCAAAGTCGAGGGTTCGAGCCCCTCTGGGACCATCTTTTTGCTTTTTGTTTTTCTTCCTGTGTGCCCCGAACATATCTCCACCGGCATGCTTGGCACGTGAGTGGGGTACATGCAATAACACTTTTGTTATGATGTCATTCCTTTTGGCGTGTTTCTGTCCCCCAAACCCCTCACACGATTGTAGCCTGCTACTAAATTATCCAAATTGTTTCACCTACAATAAATCGTCGACTGTTATCAAAAGAAAAATCTTAAATGATTTATATAGCGCTAACAAGCATAATGTCCATTCTCACTCCTGCAACTCAACAAAACAAGCCTTTCAACGAACACTCAAAGTAGATACCACCAATACCTTCTTCCTCCTTCACCCCCGACTAACATGAGCACAATCAAACCCATATCATACACACACCAACCTCCTTAACCCCAAGGAATGTGGTAGCCCCTACTTAATATCAATCACCTTCCTCTCCTCCTCCACCTCACCCCCAACCTTCGGCACCTGAATCGACAACACCCCATCCGTCAACTTTGCATCCACATGCTCCCGATCCACCTTGGCCGGGAAACTAAACGAGCGACGGAACTCTCCCATCGTGCGCTCCGAGAACCACCAGTTCCCATCCTCACCCTCCGTACTGCGCACACTGCGGCCTCTGACGTTCATCGTGCTGGGATCAGTGAATTCAATAGTGACGTCTTCTTTCTTGACGCCAGGTAGGTCGCCATCTAGGATATATGCGTCTTTGGTTTCGCGGAGGTCAAAGCGCGGAGAATTTGCAAATAGGGAATCTGTAGCGGTGGATGTCGTGAGGTAGTTGTCTAGGTCTGTGAAGGCGCGCAGGAGGGAGGGGACGGGACGAGGGTGGTGTGGCAGGAGGGACATTGTTCGAGGCGTCGTTGTTTGTAGATTTCGTAGATGGTGGATTGGGTATTTGGTGATGGTTGGGGTTGTTCTGAGAAGGTGGGTGGTTTGTTTCAGCATTGTTGGTGTGTTCGCTGTGATGGTTGTTGCTTGGCGATGAGATGATTTTTATATTATTGTATGCAGTGGAACGTGAGGATGGACGGATGAGGTGGTCGGGGGAGATGCTGTCATTTGTACGCGGGTGGCTCGCGCGGGGACTTTTCGGATAGAAACTCCTAGAGAGAGCATGCTCCTTCCTTTGTTTTCTGACATGCATCAAGAGATGGGTCTTGAATATGGGTCCCAAACTAAGTAGAAATTCGGGGATGCGTGGGGTTGGAAGGCAAGGTGGTCTTGGGGGGTGCCGTTCCATGGGTGAGGTCTACCGCGCCTGGATAACTCTGCCGGGTGGCATGATGGTAGGCTTGTGACTGTCGTATCCAGAAACTTCTGGTGCGAGACAGTGAACAAGTGGATATTTCTAAGAGACATAAGACGTACGTGGAGTGGATATTACTTAGGAAAGATGGAGGTACAGCGCCGAACACCAACGTCAAATCAACCAATCCTCATCGCCGCCTCCGCCAAACTCACACTACCCAATTCCTGATTTCGGATTACACTGACCAGATAGTTCACCCCATAGTCTGACGCCGCATGCACTACCACATTCTCGCCAAATCCACAATCCCGTTCCCCCTCTCCGGCCTCCATATACGCCGCATAACTGCCCTTCAGAATGCCATCTTTCTCCGACAACAAGACTCCCTTCGCGTACTCCCTTGCTTGCATGTAATCCGTAAATGTGCCCTGCACTATCACCTCCCGCACTGTACTTTCCCCCTCGATGGCATCATATTCTACATTCGCCTGCACGACGTAAAATAGCGGGATAGAGATACGGCCATCGTCGAGATCGGTGGTCAGCTGGAGCTTGTTCTGTGTGGTATCGATGCGGACGCGGAAGGTGGTGCCGTCTGGCGCAACGGCGTAAATGGCGAGTCCGGTGCGATCGGGCAGGTTCTCTTGTTCGAAAATGTGGGCGCTGGTTTCATAGGTTGGAAAGAAGTCACGCTCGTAGCCGGCGTCGTAGAGACAGCTGTGCGCCGCGGCTTTGGCGGCGAGTAGACTGGTGTAAGTTCCAGGGATACGGAGGATTTCGACGAGATTATTGGGGTTCTTGTTGAGGCGAGTGATGGTTAAGAGGACGTGATAGAGGTGTTCGGGAATTTTGGGAGGCATTATGGGGATCTTTGGCTGTTGAAAGGTGCAGTATTGATAAGTCAATCAAATAGTTATAGTTGGTTTGAGATGTAGGGACCACAGAGGGTCGAAAGATCATTCCTGGGCCTGTCATGCTTTTAGATTGTTTGGAGAGGCCTAGACGTGGCTATAGAAAGTCTAATTAGCGTGGTGCGTATAGCTGCTGATATCGGAGATCTTCCTCCATCTGCCTGAGACGAGGTTCTTACCATGTGGCCTGACTGTTCTGCATACTGTAAATGCCCAACAACAGGCTCCTACTGCATTGACAGCTGGAAATGAGCGCGTCACTATGACCACCCTGGCTTACTGCCATGATTAGTGGGATCAGACACCAAAAGTTTATTTGTGATGCTCCCCTGGAAGCACAAGGCAGAAGGTACCCGGCTGGCTTTATTTCATGGTCGGCCCCATGCTCCACCCCAGAAAACTAACCCTCTCCCCCCGCATTTCCTCTTTCCTCTTTCTTTCAACATTCTCGTGAGATTTCTCTGATTTCGGCATTCTTTCGGCCGCAAGACCATGTCCCCCGGGCCTATTAAATTGATGGACCTCCCTATGGAACGATATATCTCTCGCTCTCATCCCCTTGAAGACACCTTAAGCAATTCGTACTATACAGGGTAGAAATCCCAGAAGGGGAGCAATCAAAAACAATGGCAGAGCCAGGCACGGAACAAACTCCATATCCAGAGCCTGGAGAACCACCAGTTCCCGACAAAGCGCTTCAACTCCAAATCCTTCTTATCCTGTGTCTGAGCGTGTACATAATCACTGCGATCTGGTATAATTCCAGCTTCTACCTCGCTCCTCCGATTTAATAGAAGCTGTACTAAAATTGGATAACATGGTGCTATAGTCTTCTTCTGAAATCCTACTGTATTGCCTATGGCACTCTCGACTTCACCTCTACGCCTGCAACAACCCCAGACCATACAGCCGCTTGGAATTCACTCCAGCGCCTGAAATCGCTTAACCGCGTCGCGCCTCTCAAGCGTTATGATTCGTGGTATACCTCAACCGTCTGTCATGAACGGAGTCCGTTGTTAAGTAGGGATTGGGAAAGTAGCATCTGGTTGGTCCATTCTTCGCACTCAATTCCTGACTATTGTTGTGATTGGACGTGACTCTATTCAAGCAGGCACTAACAGCCATTATGTTTGTAAATACAGTGCAATATGCCTCGAAACTGTGAACAAAGCAGATGTGATACATGCATTGCCCTGTAAGCATGTCTTTCATCGACAGTGCCTTGAGACCTGGTTTCTCGAGTATCACAATGCGTGTCCCGTTTGCTGGCGGGTGTTTTTCGCTTGAACTTTACCGAGCACTGGCTGTGACCATGGAATTTGCCTGATGATGGTCTATCCACAAGGGTGGCTAAGCGGTATCGTGTCATATAATATTGGGAGTGTGCATAGGCATCATGGTGTATATGCATTCGATTATAGTAGTTACAGTGGGTCAAAGACTGTATGAAACCAGTCGCAGCATGGAATAAATCTATCATCCAAAGTTGTTTCAGAATCAAATTAGTCGAGTCCAGGTATACCCCAAGACTTGAATGCTGGCTGACTTTGTTGAAGAGCCGGTAATAGGAAGCCTCACGCAAGTGATAATATGTAAGCAATGTATGCCTTATGTGGAAGACAACCTGACTTTGGCTCTCAATCCTCACTTCTCCCGCTTTCTCTCGTCTACCCCTTCGAGATTTACATCCCACACAGCGCGCTTTTTGCTCTCAACAGTGTCATTGAATCTGTAACTGGTGACTATTTCAACATCCAGAAACATACAATGAGTTGATGGAAGACGCGGTGCTCGCGTTCTGCGCGGTCAGCAACTGATTACTGCAATTTTCGAGGGTTGTAAGTCCGCATGAGTGGTTGGTTTGGCGTTCGTATGGTGGTATGATTCCTAACTCTTCATAATGCCTGGATAACCGCTTATTAAAGCCAACCTAAATAGGACCATACTCGTTTCGTTCCTAGGAGGACATTTAGTGCGGAGGGAATAACACCCAAATTGACCTGCCTGACGGACGGCTGCGTAATTTCGATGCCGGGAGGAGCGTTAGAGCGAAGCCGTTATCCGGTGTGCAATTTGTGAAGAGAGTAATAAACGGGTCAATAAAGTTCACCTGAGCTGCAGGGAAGTCAAGGGGCGCCGTTTGCCTCTAATTTACCAGCCTCAGACATGACCCTTTTGCGGCAGAATTACCGTGTATCCTGGCCGAGAATTGGATACCATCAATGGTATGCCAGTATTTGCGCTCGATAGCATCATTCAGATTTTGAGGTTACCATGTTAATGCTGCTGCAGGTGAAAAATCATGCTCAAGCTGCAATCGAAAGACAAACTCGATTGTGACCTTCCTACAACGAACCGCCCCCTATTCACTGCGTGGCCAGTGTTGTCCGCCGGATTTGCTCACCGTTGGCCAATGGCTTCCTCCTTTCCTGTCTTCTCCTTCCTCTTCTTGACTGGCCCCACACCAGGTTGCTTATTGCCGGCAAGCTTTCAACCCTGATTAGCGAAGCTTTGCGCACTATTCCTGTTCTAGCTGCCGAAGGAACGGATGGATGCTGCACTAGTTTCATGTCGAATCTCTGATATTAATATTAACTACAGACTAGCCGATCAAGCTCTGGATTGGGCACAGAGTGATTTTGTGAACCATTCATTGGTGGAATTTGCAAGGCACCATCAATGCCGCAGACCCTGCATATCGAGCTACAGCCTTACTGGGATTAGTATAGCTGCAATCTCGTACTCGTACCCTGCAGAACCAGCTTGGATCCTAAGCACCTAATATGGCACCCGCTTCCTCCAGGACTGACGGCTGCTTGTGAAGGCAAGTTATAGTGTTGCTTGCTTATGTGCCGAGCCAACGGTATATATGAGCGTTTCTCCGTCTTGTCACCTGCGACAATAGGTCCACGCTCGAGAGATAAATTTTGCGTTCTTTTCATCGATATGCGAACCTGTTCGGTAATCCGCGGACCCCGTCGGCTGATCAGCCACCACGGCTCGTATAAATTAAATGCCCACCATACAGAACTTGAGTTCATTAAAAAAGAAGGTAACGTTTGAGACAACATGTTAATATGAAACGAGGACCCTGGACCAGCAGCTCTCAAGGGGCTGTCGGTAGTTATGACTTTCCGATCAGAAGAAATTTGCTGAAGTTGCGACTATAAGAACCTCATGCCTGCTGATGCTGAGGTTCGTTTGCTCATCATTCTACATTCATTTGAGATCAGACCTATTACACTCTTTCTGTCGTCTTTCCTATCACTATCGTTGATCATGCACTCCTTTGCTTCTCTTCTCGCCTACGGCCTAGCCGCCGGCGCTACCCTCGCTTCTGCCTCTCCCATCGAAGCTCGGGGCAGCTGCACCTTCACCACGGCTGCTGCTGCCAAAGCGGGCAAGGCGAAGTGCTCTACCATCACCCTTGACAACATCGAAGTGCCCGCTGGAACCACCCTGGACCTGACCGGTCTCACCAGCGGTACCAAGGTCATCTTCGAGGGCACCACGACCTTCGGGTATGAAGAATGGGCAGGCCCCTTAATCTCCATGAGTGGCAAAGACATCACTGTCACTGGTGCCTCAGGCCACCTCATCAACTGCGACGGTTCGCGGTGGTGGGACGGTAAGGGGACCAGCGGAAAGAAGAAGCCCAAGTTCTTCTACGCCCATGGCCTTGACTCCTCGTCCATTACCGGCTTGAATATTAAGAACACCCCCCTTATGGCGTTTAGTGTTGAGGCGGATGATATCACCCTGACTGACATTACCATCAACAATGCGGACGGTGATAGCCTGGGTGGACACAACACTGATGCGTTTGATGTTGGTAACTCTGTCGGTGTGAATATCATCAAACCATGGGTCCATAATCAGGATGACTGTCTTGCGATCAACTCTGGCGAGGTAAGCAGCTTTGCACATGGATTTAATCTGCATGTATGCTGATACTCTATAGAACATCTGGTTTACCGGCGGCACCTGCATTGGCGGCCACGGTCTCTCCATCGGCTCTGTCGGCGACCGCTCCAACAACGTTGTCAAGAACGTCACTATTGAGCACTCCACCGTGAGCAATTCCGAGAACGCCGTCCGGATCAAGACTATCTCCGGTGCCACTGGCTCCGTGTCCGAGATCACGTACTCCAACATCATCATGTCCGGCATCTCCGATTACGGCGTCGTTATTCAGCAGGATTACGAGGATGGTAAGCCTACGGGTAAGCCGACGAACGGTGTCACTATTAAGGATGTGAAGCTGGAGAGCGTGACTGGTACTGTGGATAGTAAGGCTACTGATATCTATCTTCTTTGCGGATCTGGTAGCTGCTCGGACTGGACTTGGGACGATGTGAAGGTCACTGGAGGAAAGAAGTCTAGCGCTTGCAAGAACTACCCTTCGGTGGCTTCTTGCTAGGTTAGTGAATTGGTTGGTTGTAGCACTTGCTAACGTCCATTTGCCTTGAGGGGTCAAATAGATTTTGGATTGAATGTTGTGGAGAAGAGATGATGTCTAGTAGGGTTCAGTGGTGGCAGCGTGTAAAGTTTTATACAATGTTATTCTTCGCATAGCTTTATAGACCAAATACTCAATTGAGAGAACTTGCAAGGTACTAGGCTCCGGGAACCCTTACATAGCCTTACTCCGTTGCAGATAGTTCCCTTGGTAGATCAGGATGGTATGATGATTTACGATGCCAGCAAATTCACCGCTACTCCAACCCGCGCATACGGCATACGCCAGAAGTGCAAGGGATAGATGATAACTAGCTCTGTCTTTGCGCAAGTAAGTCTGCACAGTCCAGTTTTTAACACAGAACCCACACACCATATTCCCCAATATAGCTATCTCCTTCACGCCTTCGCAAACTCCCTCTCCATAAACTCCCTCACAGTAATAAGCGTCTCCCTCCCCTTCCCTCCCTTGGCCTTAAACGCCGCCTTCTTCAACACCGCAGCCGTCTGAATCTCCGTAGGCCCATTGCCAAAGTACTCCCCATCCCTAAACTGCGAGTAAATAAAAACATCCCGCTCTTGCTCCCTCCAATACTCCCCTTTCGTATTCATGTCGTTCGGGTCCGCCAGAACCTCATACCGGGCTTTCTTGCCAGTCACTATACCCATGACCGTCAGCAACCATCTTTCCCCAGACAAAGAATAATAATAGAAAAACCTTACCAGCGACAAACGTATTCACCACCTCCGCCGATGAAACAATATCACTCGACCCCTGAATAAGCCGTCTATTCCACCGCAACGGGTTAACAAAAACCCCATGAACCAGATCCCCAAAGTCATCCTTCATACTGATCCAGGGAAAATCTTCTTTCCCGCCCCAGAAGGGCGTCTTGTATGTTAGATAGCCCTCCGAGTCAGGGAATGTGGGCCATCCGCCGAATAAGTCGGCGTAGTCTGGCTCGAGCCAGTTCTCCATGAACCACGCGGCGACGATGGGAGTTACGGTTTTGAAACCTCTCGTGGTGTAGGCTTGTCGTTCGACTTGGATTTTTACTGTGTTCTCATTCATTAGTCAAAATGGAGAGATGAAATGGATTGTGAATATAGTGAGGATGGTTGGATGTATGTGATACTCACAATCAAGACCAGGACATTTCACAGCCCCATTGGTCATTTCCGATATCGCAAGACCGGAGCTATACACTAAATGCTGCACTCCGGATAAGGCCGCGCATTCGATGATGTTGCTGCCTAGGTCGGCGTCGTTGAGGCCTTTGGCTTCTAGTTCCTACAATTTATCCAAGTTAGAATCTTTGCTCCAGTCATATAAGTAGAAGTAGGACATACCGGATCCTCCGAATTCGTATTCACAAACGCCCCCCAACTACCCGAAAACGCCTGCTGGAGTTCCTGTCGGTTGAATCCATCGGCTTTGACTAGCTCTGCGCCTAGGGAAGCCAGTTCTTTGGCTTTGCTTGACGATGGGTTCCTGGTTATGGCGCGGACGTGAAAAGTAGGGTTTTGTACGAGCGAGCGCACGACGGAGCTGCCCTGGCGGCCTGGGTGGGTATATGTTTAGTTGTGGGTATGGAGGAGAGGAGGGTAAGGGGGGTTAAGTACCGGTTGCACCGAAGATGGTGATGGTTTTGGTCTCGATTGTCATGGTTGAGTGGGTTGGGTTGTTGGGTTCTACGGTGGGGAAAATATGTGGGAACTGGGGATAGTTGCTACTATATGAGAATGTATATATCTGTCTTAGCTATATAAGAGATGAGTGGTGACGTTGCAGATGCCCATTGAGCCTGGACTTTCACCGCTCCTGCTTGGTGCATACTTCTAGATTGTTGGATTGTCTCATCTACAGTCTAGCCATGGGGTCTATGTAAATGCGGATAAAGCATGGAATTCTATCATCATATGACAATGTGCCTGTTAGGCGAGGGGGACTGACAAGCCTGCTCGACTTACCTACCAGACCAGGTACAGCAGTCTGGACAGTCGGACGCGCAAAACCGGGTATAGTTTCTTGCGTGGCAAGCAAACCAAACCTAACCTCCTTGCATGAGAGTGGAGCGTTGATCATTGGATGTATCGTGTGGCTATGTCTGCAGAGTGCCGCCACCTAACAAATTGTCCTCAGGGCGAGATCTCGCTGTCTGTGCATCCAGCCCCGGATTGCGTACTAGAAAAATTTTTAATGGTAGTGTATTCCCAAAAATGTACATTAATTGCTCTATGATCGATAATTCGCTCCATCTATATACACAGATATGAATAATAAGTCTTAATGAATAGACCACGCATTAAATCGCTCAATATGTATCTCAAAAATAATAATGTAACAAATCTAAGTGTTTCGCAATAGACAGTCGGTATCCAAGTATGGGTAAAAAAAAGGAGAGAAGAGGAAAAATCGACGTGCTTCACCCATCGTAAAACATTCCGCACAACACCACGAGCAGATAGCAGGGTTAGGCTATTGTCCCACTGCTTGGTAACCACGACGATTCGTCCAGTCGCTCTGTCTCCATTGTTTTTTGTACGTTTCCATCTCGGTCGGGTCCGCGGCAGTACCCTGACCTTCACCAAGAGCGCGCTCGAGACGACCTTGGCGGCGCTGGCGCAGGAAGTAAAGTACAAAGCCGGCGATACAGAGAGCAGCGAAGGCAGCGGCACCGCAGTAAACGCCAATGTGGGCTGCTGTGCCCAGTTTGTCCCATTTCTGGGCAAGCGTCTCGGCGGGTTTCTTCGAGATTTCTTTGGCGGCAGTGGAGTTTCCACTATAGACAAGGGCAGTTAGATGAATAATTCTTTACCTCGTCGACGGGCACCAACGAATAAGGACTTACCTAACAATCTCAATACTCTCGTAAGAGCCATTGTGACCGATGTATTTGTACTCCTTGCCCGAGGAGAAGTCCTGGACACGGATCTTCTGCACCGTCATAGTAAAGGGGACGTCGGTCCAGTTGACCAAACCACCACCCCATTCAATGTTTCCTATCGACTGCGACGCAATACCCACAGGCCAGTTGCTGACCTTGACTCTGCACGGCGTCTGGGGGTAGTTCTTGCCATAGACGGTGAGAGGTTCAGAGTAGTTGACAGTGCGCCTCAGTTCGCCATCAATCCACCACTCCAGACGATCCTTGTCCCAGTAAGTAGTGTAGTTGTGGAACTCGGTATCCGCGTTTGATACAGCATGGTAGCCACCACGATCACTTGTCGTTGTGTTTCCCTTTCCGAAGAAGTCTGATTGCACCTCGCTGGTGTTGTATCCCACCCATTCCCAATCGATCTCGTCCAAGTCATCGGATTGCAGGATCACGCTGCTGATGATACCTGCACCCTTGGCCATCTTGACATGGGCCTCCATGACACCGAAGAAGATGTAAAAGTTCGACACCAACAAGGTGGAGGCGTTTTCCGTCTTGATGCTGAATTCTGCTCCATCCGACGTGTACTCTATCTCCCCCGTCTGCATATCCCAAAGCGTGTCATCTAGCGTCTCGTTGAACCACCATGTGTGCTCTGTGGACAGCGCCGCGTCGGCGGGGCATGTGCTGTTGATGGGGTTGCAATCGGTTTCATCGGCGGCCACCAGGCCGGCTAGCGCCCCCAGGAGCCAGGCATGGCGAAGATAGAACATGACGGCGGATTTGTGAGGAGGGCGTGGTAATCGAATTGGTGGTCAGAGTCTGGGGTGACCCGACTCAGGTGGTGGTGGGTTTGGGTGCGGGATGGGTATGGGCGGGTTCGTGGCTGTCCTGGGGGAGGGATGACAGGAATGGTTTCAGGTTCATGGCTCGTGGCGGGCAGGAAGGAGAAGGAGCCCATTGACGGAGTTATAGCGCTGGAGATAAAAAAAAAGTGCCTCTTTGGCTTCTAGCGAGCAAGCTATCGATAGCACAGAAGCAAAGATGGTGGCAGCCAATCAAGGAGCGAGTCGGCACTTAGTCTCCGAGGCATCGGCGGGGGCTAATCCCACTATAGGCAGCTTTCAGGGGCAAGGGCCCAAACCCAACTTTTAAAAATAGGGGCAATCTGCCATTTGTCCCTGAAAAAGGGACACCAGACGGTGTCTCTCGTCGAGCCTGGTTATTGGTAGCCACGATAGACTCCACCTGGGTCTTTTTCTTCACCCATGAAAACTGGTTTTTGCTCGTGTCGTGGAGGAGGAAGATTTTTCCTCTCGCCTCTGCTCAGGAGACAGCTGAGCGGTTGGTCCGAGCCATCCGACAGTAATGCTGTTGCAAGCGAGTTGGGGATCTGCTGATATGCAGTCGAACGATCCAATTAAAGCAACACAACTCCATCGCAGCAAGATTACAGGAGTTCGCAATTTAAACTTGGGGGTCCCTTGGGGCGAGTTGACTCGGAGAGAGCACTAATGACAACTGGCTGTTGAGGGTTATTCGGGCCAGCAACTTCTTCCCCGGGGATGGTTGCCGGTTCGAGTTATCAGGATCCACACCACCAGCCCCTATTCGGACTAGCAAGCAAAACATTTTCCGGTGCCATTCCCAGACAGGAAGTTGAATTTCCCGATTAGTCAGAGCTTGGCAGGCTAGTGCGCAAAGCTTGACCGGGATAGGGTTAGTCGATCTGCCACTTTCCGGGAAGCTGCTTTGATAGGGTCGGATCTAATTTGGTTGATTGCAATTGTTGGCTCTCCAGGGGCTGCATGGAAATTTGGGAGCCTGATCCAAAGGCTTGTCTTTCGATTTGGAGCGCTGTCAGCCTACAATTCTTGCACAAGCATGTGCCAGAAGGCTTGGCCCTTCTGGAACATCGGGTTGGTGAAACATCCGCTCTTGGAGGCAGTTTGTTTTATCGCAGTAATAACTTCTTCTTGTCCATATTAAGAGGGCGTTCCTATCGATTAATCTATGATAAATATGTTCGCCGTAGCCGTCAGGTACCCGTAGATCGAGAAGGTGTCACTAACCATTGCAGTACTCCACAAATACGAAAACGATGTCTTGCAATGAATGGATAGCGAGATAGGCCTATATTAGGCGAACTACTCCATTTGATCTCTCTATGATTTCATTCGATGCAAGGCCATCGTCCACCATGATACTAGTAAGCATCGATAATATTATATAGCTTGCCAGTTTTCACATTAACTCCCAGTTTGGCATGAAAAAGTAGTAGTACCCATGGCTCTCTGAACCTGTGATGGCTAGAAGGAAAGGCATAGTACCCTCGTAACATTCAACATTCACTAAGGTTGACCAAACATTCCAGAACCAGACTAGACGCACAGATTGGTACAGAAAAACATTGGGGGATATTGCAACCTCACTCAGATACCCCACCAAACTTACCCAGAGATATCCGGCTTATCTCCTGTCCAACCTTCATATTTTCTGTATCGTTCCAATTAACCCTGACCTGAGGCCCAAAAATGAGACAATGCGTACTTCCCCCAAAGTGGAACATCCCAAGCTCCTGGCCCTTCTCTACATAATCCCCAGGTAGCACCGTCGTCTCGCACGAGCCACGTTCCAGTATACCCGCAAATAAGCAGCACACAAGCACTTTATCTTCAGTCTCAATGAAAATCAGATGCCGAGTAGCCGTGTGCACGGCGTAGCCCTGGGATTCGGAAACCCAGTCATCCAGACTCGTATTATCCCGTTGAGCAGGGCAGAATATCCCAGGTATCTCCAGGGTTCTGACGACAACTCCCGAGACGGGCGCATGCCACCGATGGTAGCCAGTAGGCTCAAGGTATACCTGGAGAACCGTACCGCCGACAAATTGCCCCGCGATCGGGTCCTCATCAAGCATATCTTCGAGTGAGTAGGGCTGATCCTTGAGCCAGTATTCATCTTTAGCTTTTATTTTGGTTGCGAATTTATAGGTGACCCCATCGACAGCAGCAGAAACGACACCGGGGTTGTCTGGCTCCGCAATTGGTCGGGCACCCTTACGGAGCTCTCTGTTGAAGAACTCCTCCCAGGAATTGAACCCCCAGTGGGGCTTGCTTGGGTCGCATACGAAGGTTTCCTCGAAATCGCGCATATTGGCGAGAGCGTCGGGGCTGAACCAGCCATTAGGCTCGCTGGTCAGGACGGCTGCTGATTCTGGGCTGCGGAGAAATTTGCCCCAGTCCTTGAGAATGTCATGGAAGGCAGTGTTGACCTTTGCGTTGAGGAAGAATTCGTATCCGGATGGCGTGCGAATGTATGGCTCAATGAACATGGTCAAGGGGCTGCTGGCCCAGCGTTGGGTAGAAAATACGGGCGCACTTCGAACAAGACTGTTCAACTGGACGATGAAGGTAGCGAGGTTGCTAGGGATGGTTGGATCTCCAGGGCGGGTTTGCGTGAACATTTCTGTGGTGAGCTTGTAGAGCTTGGGATCGCTCTCGATCAAGGACTTGAAGACTTTGATGCTTGTGTTGAGGTTGGTGGATGTAGACTGCGATATAACATTCTTGGTGAAGTCCATGATGAAACAAGTGGAGGTTGGGGCCCTGTGTGATGGTTCAAGGGTTGGAATAGGATAGTAAAATTCCATGCAAGAGTTAATCAATTAGATTAGGGTACTGACGGGGTTTTTATGCCAAATCTTCTGTCATGTGGAGTACATGGGGTCCTGCTAGTACTTTCTTTTCACCCCTCCCTCCATCCATGGATGGACATAGCTTGTGGTAATACGATCGTTGCATCGGAGCTCGAGCGCTATAGTAGGCAGCATCTTTTACTTCATTAGTCTCCTTTCATGTCAATTATCTGCAGCAATGCAGAGTTCCCCACGATGAGCAATCATGAATTCAGCTTCGATAACGTCTCATATAAACCCGCTTATGCTTTTCCTTCTCTTATGTTAAGTTCTTCTTGTAGCGGGTATCATGGAGAACTTGAGAATACTAGATCGGGAAAATGCTGACACGAGAACCTAGTCCGACTGACAAAGTGTACAGGATTTCATGTAACACAACTGACCTTTTTTGTGGCCCGATACTCACATGATTCTACGTCACCACGCTTACGTTCATGGAAAATAGCAGAGCTCAAATTAAATGTCAATACTCGCTTGCCAAGGCAAGAAGAGCTGCACTGACTCGGATGTAATCGACGACTAAATGTATTTGATAGGGAGATGTCAACTTGACTTCGACTTTGTGAAGATAGTATCCAATGTACGGATAGCAATTCCGAGGAAGACAGATGATATAGATCACGTTCCCAAGCTATCATTCCGGCTCGACAACCAAGACACTCAGTCTCGTTTCCAGACAATTGGTAAATGTCCCTCTTTTCCATAAATGGGATCAAGAGCCGGCGTAGGCACTGAATTGCAGATCGTACGTTTTCTGTCCGTTTCCTCCGGGGAGTCAAGCGCCTCCTCGTAGTCCCATGGCTGCTCTCGGGAATTCTTGTCATTCTGCCATTGGTAAGTCAACTCGAAACAAACAAACCCGTTGCTTTAACTAGCAGCATCAACGCTTACCAGCGAATACCATCCAATTATCTCATAAACGTCCGATATATTCGTGACGCAATGCGTCACCCCAGCCTACACAGACATAGCTCTGTCAGTCATACAGGTCTCTTGATTTATATTTCTCCATTCAAATTTAGAGAGCCAGACTACTAGGGATAAAATATACAGGGAACACAAAAACATCTCCCGCGCGAGCAGTAAACATGACACCGACCTCCTTACCGTTGACATCAACGTCAGGGTCAAGGGGAGATTTTCCAAGCCGGTATGTTCCTGTTCCGTGTAGAACTGTATACGCCTCGTGTGTGATGGAGTGGTAGTGAGGGACGGCTGCGAGTGTATTTTCTGCTATTTTCCAGTGTCCTCCATACACCCATTCACTTTGCTCTATAGCGTTGGAAGCTCCTTGGGGTGTCTTGTCGATTAACGCATCCCTGTAGACAAGGACTGGACGGGTTGAATTGGGAGAGTGGGTTGTTGGAGGGACGGTGAGGATTTCGGGGGGTACTTTGTTGACGAGCATTTTTTTTTTGGTCTCAGGGGAGTGTGATGCGAATGTGCTATTTAGGTGGTGATTAGGGGACGATGGTAAAGCAGTGATTTTGTTTGTGTATTTAAAAATGGTTCAAGGATCCTGGAGAAGAGGAGCTGAAAGTTAGGTAGGAACCAGTCATTTTCCAATATCGGATGGTGCTTTATAGGTTCGGCGGGTGAACTAACTCCAGTATACAAAGTCTGCTAGTGGAATGGTTATCGGTAGTACATTCCGATATGCGGAGTGTCTTTCCGATTGTTCCATGCCATTCCCGAGCCGTGAGAATACCCCGCATGCAGGGATCCGAACGTGGATAGCATTAGCCGGTGCGCTATATGGCATAGTTGTGAGACGTATTGGCTGGGGCTTTTGCCATTCTTATAATCCGTGGAACTCGAATGGTCGAGGTCATAAGTGGTGAGACTGCGAATGAAGACAACGAAAAAGGTCTCTGTCATTGAGCTCGCTCGGATACGCCTGTACTGTACTGTATGTCTTTGGGTGCAGAGTCCAAGAAGAAAAGATGAAGGAAAGATCGGAAGAGAATAACATGAATAACTCAGACTTTTGCTAAGATCCCCGCTACGCTAAACTCAAAGCATCACTAACAGGCATGACATATTCTTCCCAATCATTCAAATCCGTGATAGACGCTGGTGACCTTTCCCGGGAAGACTTCGACAAACAAAAGTCGCGAGATTTCCACACCTGCTCGATAACCACACGCGCTCGAGTTACACTAGAAACACTGCTTTTGCTCATCTTCATGAGTAATTCCAAGACAAGTCTTCGCCCGTCCG